GCCTGTCCGCGCTGTTCCCCTCTTCCTCTCTCTCCCCCCCTCTCTGTCTGTCTGTCTGTCTGTCTCTCTCTCTCTCTCTCTCTCTCTCTCTCTCTCTCTCTCTCTCTCTCACGTCTCCGAGCGGTGACGAGGTGACCGCCTTTAGGCTGTGACGTGGGGCCGGTAAGGGACCGTCCCAAACATAAGAGAATGAATGTACGTGAGAGAGAAGGAATGAACATAAGAGAATGTCGGGGTCGTTGTACATTTTTAGTGAACCACACCGGGATATTCACATTAGAAAAAATACAATAGCTTTGTTTTTCCCTTATATTTTTTTTTCAATGTGATATCTCCGCTTGTGAATCGAATAATTATCTGCAACCACTCTCCTTAAGAATGTTAAAGACTAAATCATCATTTGTGTTTAAAATGACGTTTTGATTTGTCGTTATTAGGAAGTCTAGCCAAACATTCTATTCTTATACTTAGTGTTAATGTTTTATTGGTATGGCCTTTGGTGAAAATGGATTTTGGATTTGGTCTGATTGAATATGACGTGAACTTTGGCAAATATGTTTCATCTGCAAAGGGATGTTCGAAATGTCGACAGAATATAAATGTCATAATGCAATGATGAATTCAATGACAAAAACGCGTATGCTAAATACGACTACTTTTCCCGTGTTTTCCACGCAAAGCCTTCTGTCACCAACAATTTAATCTGATGCAGTCTTCGGGTTTGGGCTGCTTAAAGACAATGTGTGCTGTTTGTGTTGTAAGTTATTCCCCGAATTTTGTAAAATATAAATATGTTATTTCGACTTGCATTATCGGTTTATCGTTGCATGTGAATGGTTTGAAGTATTTATAAACCCGTGCTTAGGTGCCGATATCAGAATGTTGAATTACTAAATATATGTGAATTCTAGCGATGCGCAATATTGGCTTTTTTTCTATCCGACATTCATATTTGTATCCGCATTCTAACGAGTATATCAGTAATATTTTTGTGGAGATATTTAAATGTGAACTATTTTGTTATTCTCATCTTTTACTCATGCATATTAATGTGATGTGTGTAACGTGATTATAGGTGGCGGTAAAGCGTCAATGAAATAACTAGTATTCACATCCCACATGATTTGTGTTTATGCTAGAATATTTGAACACGAAATATTAACAAAACAACGTATGAAAATAGGATTGTAATTGGAATTTCTTCTCTATGTTCACGAATTTTTAAACACTTTTTTGTATACGTGTTTATGTTGATAAAAGTATTTGTTATGCAGAAAGAGTCATTACAAACTTCAATAAAACGTTTCTCATTCATATTGAAGGTGTCTCCTCTGTGAGGATACACTAATAGAATCGTTTACTTTTTTACCAACTCTTGTATTACTCATAAAAGCACCCTCATCATTCATTTATTTCCTTGTTCTAACATCTCACTTTCGTCCGTCTCTCTCTCTCTCTCTCTCTCTCTCTCTCACACACTCTCACTCACTCACTCACTCACTCACTCACTCACTCACTCACACACACACTATTATATGCATTTCACTTCGACACATGTCGAAAAGGTTAGTCCCGGCTGGGGCGGTGTCTGGATACCTATAGTATGAAATGTCAGTGAGTAGGTCGGCGCCGAACCTCACCATTCAGCAGGAGGAGTATCACCGACACCTCGTGAGATACAACATTCACTACTTTGACGGGACAAATGACCTTAATATTTGTCCTGCCCGGAAATATAAAGCAATCAATTGAAATAGGTGCATGATGTGTTTTTCAGAAATGTGTTGCCACATACGATGTCTCTCAACTTCATTCCGTTGCCGGGGGTTTTGAGGCAGTGTTTTTCTCGAGTTGAGTCGACAAGGAGCTGCAACATTGCCGGCCGCTGGCTGCAGCTCCTCAGCGCGCGCCCCTGCTCGCTCACCCGCTCGCTCCACTCCGCAAAATTCGATCCACACGTAAAGCCAGTGACATTTCTCAATCTCCATTTCGTGCCCACATTACGCGAGAACGGAACACGTCGTTCGCCGCGCGACGTACGCTTCAGGAAATTCCGAATTCTCCTTTCGTCGCCGTCGTCAGCGGCAGCCGCCGGGGGCGCGCCTCCCCACCCCCACCCCACCCCAACCCTTCTCCC